AGCTGCGGTGGCATATGGAGATAATGCTGCCTCACTGTTCTTCCGTCATCATAATGAAATGTTCAGCGACCAAACCTCAGCCTTTGTATTTCCTTGAATGTCCTCCTACTTTTCATCTACACATACTCGTAGACCCATTCATTTCTTGCTTCTCCAGTTTCCGAACACTTTTCTTCTTTACCGAGTAATGCCATTGTCTCCATATTTGGAATTTGCCAGGACCAGCATGCCTGACTCTGCATGCATGTATCAAGTTTCACCGTCTACATTGGGCACATACAGACAATATTTACATGTACATGTGCATAAATTCATTGCATGAAATACATGCACATTTCTTTTGTTTATCAAATTGTGTGTGTTGGGGGGGAAAAGATCAAGGTAAAAAACATGAATCACAATGCAACAAAAATTTGTCGTAGATTTCCAAATCTTCACCTGGGTCCTGTCTGACTGGTTTATTGAAAAAAAATTGTCTTGAAAGTAATGCAAGGGGATAGCATGCACAGGGAAAAATTACCTCTGCACAGTTTTGGAATTTCTGGATGGGCCTACAGCTCTTTAAACACTTTCCTTACAATTTTTTTTTCTTTGCAAATTTGGCCCGACAACTACAAACAAAAGTTGGGACCATTTGTCACGGGAGAGGAGAAACAATCTGTGAACACCAGAGCGAAGTGTTTCTGTGGACGATTTTGCATTGTGCGCAATAAATTTCATTTACCAGCAGGATCAATGAATCATACATTTAGTACCAGGACTGCAGAGTGCAGAGGTTCCTCAGAATTTGATTTCTTGCAGTACACTTGAACCATTGTTAGAATTTCCTGAAATGCACTGGTACGAATTAAGCTGGACATTGCCGGAGCTTTAGGCAGCACTGAACTACTTCCATGTCCATGTATATGTACATGCCCTGAATTATGCCTGGCACAATAGCTGTCAAAGGAACTAGCAGATTTTTTCATCCATGAAATATTGATTTTTTTTTTTTTTTTTAGGTTGTAAACCTTGGGCTAGCACATTCTTTCTGACATATGTATGTGAGTCCTTGTCAAATTGGTTTTGATAGGCAGACAGGTGCAGCCTTTCATGGCTTGTATGTAAGCGTGCACAGCCATTCTAAGCATTGCAAGGTTTAAATTGAAAAAATAAATTCAATTTCCTATGAAAATAAATTTGGTCCCGTTCTTTGTTTCTTTGCATATGAAAACATCAGTTTGTTGGTAAATTTTGATGCTAAATATGGTAAATAACCCCAGAAATGACTTCCACTTTGAAAAGTCAATTGGCAGAGCAAGTTTGTCATCCTTTCTGTGTTTTGTATTTGAAAAATACTCAAAATTACTACTTAGATATAGGGTAGTTAAGCTGTGTGTCGTTTCATTTCATGCTGCGTACTGTGGTTATGGAAGACGTCACAGTTGTTCAACAAGAGTCCTGTAGAAGTATTCCCGGAGTCAGATTTCTGCAGTTCAGATGTGGGTATGATCATTTGCCAATTTATCAGACAATGAGCTTGTTCAGTATTTCAAAAAGCCTAAGTCTATCGAGAACAAAGCACGTGTGAGTGGGCGTGTGGCTGCGTTGATAGGATAGACTTTCACGTGCGCTCATAGCCGTTCCCGAATAGCCTCGTGATGAGCATGCGCTGCGGGAATACCGAACATTTAAAAACCCTGGCGGATTGCAAAGACACGTCTTAATTAGTAAATGCCTACATGTATGTACAAGTGCTGAGTGGCAAAATGGAGGCCACATCGTACCGGTAGTACCATGGTCTAACCACTTGTGTCATCACCCATCCAGTAGACATTGCCCATTAGTGCCCTAACCATGTTAGGCTCTTTTAAACTGGGCCACATTGATACTGTCTTCTGTTCAAACAGCCGGAGTGCATACAGTCAATACTCTGACACCCAGGCAGACCAGTCTGGTTCTAGTTGTTAGGTAATATTGAAGGACGGGCTAAATGAGCAGTAGCTAATTAAATGTCTGGGATAATTGAATCAAAGTTGTGCCTGTCTGCCAATAAATGTCTGGGTCCACAGCTGAGACTGACGTTGATTTACAACCGGGAATACTTCAATCCAGTTATTGCTCCAGAGTCCAAGCCCTTCTGATCTTTATGGATACACATATCTGGAGCAAAGGTTTCATGTTTTTCAAGTGCCTAAGCAATTTTTTTTTTTCAATACAAGTCTTGTGTTGCTTCGAATCCCATTTAACCTGATTTCTAATTGTTGTTGTGCCGTTTCGAGAGAAATTTGATGCCTTTTGAAAAGTCTTATACTCATGCGAAATTGCATATTGAGGGTAAAAGTGCGATATTACCCAAGATGGAAACCTCAGTGCTTCAGCTACTTCTTAACTAAATTTGCCTGAATTTTGCTGTTGTAGAGTTTGTTAACTTTGGTGATTTGTTGTCATTTCAGTTGGTGACAGTAGGCCAGTGACCAAAGATCTTTCACAAATATTTTAATTAGCTTATTTGGGGATCGCAATTTGAAAACAAAACCGCAAAATGAACAACTTCTCTTTGTGATGACATCAAAGAAAAATAGAAAAATTTGAATCCTTAAAAAGTACACTTTTTCAGCGGGAATTACCGTAGATGTCAGATAGAGGTGGGGAAAACTGCACGAAATACATGTACAAGTATGTTCCAATTAAAATACAGATTCTGGTCCCTTTAAAACATTACCATTACCGGTAGTTTTCGGAAATGCTGTTGCCCTGTTAATTGAAAGAAGGTAGTGGAATTTCAGTTGTGTTGTGATGCTATTAAAGAGTTCAGGTTTGCTGAAATATTTGCATTGAAGTTCAGTTGTTTCTTGTCTGTTGGATGCAAATGTACTGACTGTAACCGCATTCCTGCGTACGTGAGCACACGAGTTCTTCATCGTGGAGTGATTCATTTGCAGTTTCAGCCATGAGCTTGACAACCACTAAGCATTGTCGAATATTGCTATTATTTGTTTGTCTCTGGTTTTATGATAGCTGATTCAGGGGCCTGACATTTATAAAATGTAATACCCAGGTGGTGTCACCTTTTTTTTCCTTTTTATGTAGCGAGGAGTGGAGTGTGATCTTTGTCTTTTGAATATGTCATCGTCAGGGGCGCGTGATCATGGACATTGTGCGATTGTTTCCAGCTGAGCTTTGTGCATACAATACTTGAGACAAGGTCATTTGTATGCGTACGTGCATTTGTAATCATTGATCATGAATACATGATGCTGTGTGAAAGATGTTCCACCCCAAACAGGGTAGATTTGTGCATAAAATATGACAGATTCAGGTGATGTCTGAAATTGAAAGCCATTGCTGTAGTGGCACCCTAACTTTTCCATGTGAAAGTGTTAATTCGGTCACGTTCTCACCAACTTTTAAAAAGAGGTTTCGAGAAAAGAAAAATGGAAACAATAAGTACGGTAGTGGTTTCACCATTAATTCCATTTCACCATTTTTTGGGGTAAAGTTTTTTCTCGTGGACCAAAGAGGTTGTTAACGGCATGACCGAGCGTCCACTTTCACATGGAGTTGCCCACCATTCTTGAACGCAGGTTGTACTAGCACAAATAATCCTCTTAGACCCTACGACTTGTTTACAACTTGCCAAAACACCAGCACCTCACCGATGTAATGGTGTCTCCAGAGAATAGTTTGAATACAGTCATTGGTTGTGATTTTTATTTTCTGCCCGCATAGCGCAACTGAGCACATTCAGCTCAGCAAATTTACGTGCATGTACATGTATGTGCGTTTCAAGTACATGTAAGTTCCAAGTTTCTAAATACAATTAGGCCTACATGTACTACAGTCCTGACCCAGTTTTAAAGCGTAAGCTTGTAAGACAGAAATATCTCCTAAGAATTGACGGAATATGTTTTTCGCATTCTAACAGGATTAGAGATCACATTTCTGTATCACTTTTTGTCAGCAACATGAATCCCATCGGGCCGTTGGTTTTTTTTTTTTTTAATTTTTGAGCCGTGAAAAAAATTGAGGCGGTTGGCAGTTGAATTTGCATGCGTAATGATAAACCCGTAACTCATGTCGGAGGCGCCGTCTCTGTGTAAATTGGATTCATTCCTTGACTGGAGATGGGACAGGGTTGACACCGGACAGTGATGAATGGCGACAGTGGCCAAGTTAGTCATAGCTCAATGTGCATTGCGGAGGACCAGATGGCTGGCTGCATGCAAACACCAGCCCCGTCTTGAATAATGAGATCAAAATATAAATGCAAATTTTTCAGTTACATGGTCCTGTTTTTGTCAGCGTTTATTAATTGTGGCTCCTGGACAGGTGAATATCTTTCACCTCGTCATTCAATATTGATTTGAATTCAGGCTAATGTTGTGTACACAGTTCTGTGTATCACTTTGGGCACCAGTTTCAAAAAGGGAAAGAAATACAGAAAAGCTCACCAGGAAATATTTTGAAAAGATACACAGAGTCTATAGTCTACAGTTTAGTCATTTTTTTCCCCAGGTTTGCTTTTGAGCAATGGAAAAGCACCAAACTGGATTGACCTAGAGGAATTTAGTTGAAGTGCCATTCCCCGACATAAAATGTTTTTTTGCATTTTCAACTCAGGAGGGTGTGCAGTAGCATATTATTAAACCACTAGCATATGCATGATGTTGTTTTACTATGTACATTGTATTCTCTGATGAGTATACATGAACATGTAAAATGTATTTTAAAAAGCCACATGTAGAATAAAGGCCATCGTGCTATGGAAGAAGGGTAAAGTGAGCATGGAGTAGGGCAATACAGTTCCTAACAGGTTGAGGGCTGGTAATGGACATTTCCAAGCTCTGCATCTTGCCATGCAGAGACAGGTGTTTTAGGTAATATCGGTGTCCATTTTGGAGGGAAATATATTGATGAGGATACCACCTCATCAGCTGCTCTTTAGATATAAATGATAACCAGATTAGCTCAGAAATGATCAGCTGATTCTTACGATTTAATTTCCATTCCCCACCCAGGCTGAGCGTGTCAAGCTCCTGCGACCGGCCGGCAGCCAGCAGCGCTACACCCTAGCCAACCCGTACACAGCCCTGGGCCGGGACCTGGACAGCGACAGCAAGGATAACACCAACAGCAGCAGTGGCAACACCGAGGAGGACGACCAAGAAAACAAGGGGAGCAATGCCTTGGCTTGCCTAGAGGCGATGGTGGCCAAGCACAAGAAGGCCGAGGCCGAGATGAGGACCCAGTTGGAGGGGTTGAAGAAGAGCCACGCGAAGGTAAGGATGATCCCCTCCCACTCCGGGCAGGGCCCCCAGAACAGCACGCACTTGAGTTTAGACCTGTTTTGTTTTACACAGATCCGAATCTCTCGGTTCACTGACACCAGCACCTGCCTCGTGGCAAGTCAGCGTTAAGATCACTGATCGAGATCCAGATCTGTGTGAAACAGACAGGCCCCCTTACATGTGGATAAACCTAAAACAAGTTCCCAAGCCTGCTGTCTCCCGATCGGACGTCCAACGCTCCAAATCATTCTGCTTCCTTTCTAACCAGTCAGTGTTTGACCACATCATTATGGGGCTGTCCTTCCTTCACAAATTTAGTCTTTCCGAAAAAAAAAAAAAAAAAGGCAAGACAAACCTGAAGTAGTGCCCTTTGCTCTGTACGCATGCAGTCACCTTGGTTACTCAGACAGTACCATGGTCCTTCAAAACCACCCAAGACTCTACATGCCATCTTATCCGGAGTGATGAAAGGGTATCACCGCAAGTCCTCAAGGAGGTTGACACAGGGACAGGCCGCATCCTCGAGTGCCGGCAAACAAGACATGGAGTGGATTTTAATTGAATTTGCATATCCGAGACTTTTTTCATTTGCCTGGTACATTAGTCTGAAGCTTTTGATTAGTGATTGGAAATAGTTCTCTGGTATATCATTGAAACCTGAGCTCTATTCCCGTGCACAGAGAAGCCATCTGCTTGTTACATTAAAGGTAGCCAGTTTGCATAATAGAACATTCTGCCCCCCCATTCCGCATTAGCGCTTTCTGATATTTCAATTGTGATTCCAGCTGTTAAAATAATAAATGCTTAGTTAGTAGTTGAAAAGATTTCATCGCATTATGTTGAGTTCAAAGGCTCAGAATAGTTAGTTTATTGCTTCTGATTAATTAATTTGACTCGTCTCATACATGTACATGTAAGTGTGTGCACACAGTGAGGAAATGCTTCATTGCTGGCAGTTTGAAAATAGCACTTCCAGCTACTGAAGTTTTTCGAAAACTAAAGGCCGTTGATAAACATGTCGAGTTCAACATTCTGCCCCAGGATTCTATGTGAATCCTTTTGCCATGTTTCTGAAAGCAATTTCAGCTGTGAAAATGCTGAATGTTCACAAGAGTTTTGGAGAAGATTGCAGTGCATGATGACATTTGCATTGAAAGTTGTATTCCGTGTCTGTTAATTTCTTAATTTGTCAGGTTTGGCTTCATTTGTTCGGGTTTGATTTGAAACGTCACCTCAGGTGACTAGAAGTAGCTTTGGTCATTCTTGCTACTCCTGTGTCACTCATGAGAGCTCAGTGCACGCAGCAAAGAATTACGGAGCTGGGCTTGAAAAAAATTTAGATCTGACCAGTTATTCTCCCTTCCCACCGTGCAGAATTGTTCATTTGCATGCTACTGCAACAGTCTCCTGTGTTGGATGTTAAAGACATATATGTTATTTCTGAATTGAGTCCCAAGTTGGCTTTTCATAACGTGTCCCAATGGGTTCCAATGGCGTTTTGTAACTGGTCATTTGTAACCTGCCTTGTTTGACACACAGCTGACTCTGTTTATGTTCAAATTAAGTTTGGGAAGGTTACTTATTTGTTCTTTGCAAAACCCTCCTGTCTTTCTCCTCCTCTAGTGGCACGTGCTTAATCGGTTCAATATGTAAACTTGTTAAAGTTGTTTCAGACAAGGCTATTCTTGGAGTCTTCTCTCCAGCATCAGCACCAACCCTTTTTTTCGGGTGTGTTGTTTGCACAGTGTACCGTTACATATACACATATCATGGACACATACAGCTCTTGGCACCTCTTGGCACCTCCAGGTTTCCTGGTGACAATGACTGTCACTGTTGGAATTGTGAAGACAGGAGTCCGGGGGGGGGGTTTAATTGCCTCCTCCTAGAAATGTGGCTATATACATGGGCTGGGAATTAAGTTAGAACTTTACTCTTGTTGAAAATATTTTCTGCCAGCAAGTGACTGTCAAGTTGTCAGGGATGGAGCAGATTACATGTGTAGGTCATTCAACCTGAATCTGATTGTGCTGGTGAGGTCTCAAACTGTCTTACAAAAGCGTTAAATTTTTTGGGTGTGATTTTTCCTGACATGATTTGCCCTTAGTTCTGGAATCCAGTGCCTGTTTTTTTGCCCCCATCTCGGCTCTGTCTCTGTCTTAATCTTCGGGCCTCAACACAAAGTTGAGACCAAGACCATCGGTCATTGCAGGACCAATCTCTGTGACAGTCATGAGATTCTTTAGCACGAAGCTTAAGTTTCCCAGTTGAAGGTTGGTTTGTGCCATTTGCCTGAAAATGTGGCACGTGAGTTCTGTGTCTCTTTGCTCATTCTTACAAGAACTTATTCTGCTTCACCGTTGACATGTGTCTTTTCCTGTGCTTGATCAGGTGGTGGCAGAACTGGATGAGGAGAAGAGAAAACATGCCAGTGACACAGCCCAGGGGGATGATGTCACCTACATGCTGGAGAAGGAAAGAGAGCGACTCGCACAACAGGTAAAACAAAACATACAGTTGATCATGGATGATCCCCACAGTCCGCAAGTATCAACAGGAACAGATAGATACTCTTTTCTGGACTGAGAACACGTAGAGTAAACTTTCATACATGTATGATTACTTGTTGCTAAGTAGTTAGTCCTTTTGTTTTATGCAATGGTGTTTTTTATGTACATGTACCATACTCTGTTGGCATACATAATATCGGTAACCCATATTTACAGCAAGTTGCCAGTTTATGTTCTACTTTTACAGTAAATACTGGTACATATCTTCTTTTTTTTTTTTTTAGGTTTTCCCTTTACTCAAATTCTTGTTGTATGCATCATGTTAAAGTGAAGACATTTTTTCTGACTCACTTCTTGCCATACAGCATTTGTTCTTCCTCCCCCGCGCTACCTTCCACAGTCATTTGTGAGTGCCACATGAAAGCCCCATAGGGTTTTTTTTTCCCTGCTTCACCAAGCCCCCTCTCTGCCCCCTCCATTCAGCTGTTATCCACACTGCGTTGTCAAACTGTGACAGACTGTCTTCAGGGGATAACTTTCTGCAAATCATTCCAATCCTATTAAAGCTGAGCACTTGGCATTTACATGTATGTCGAAAAATAGTTGAATTCCAAAACTCATCGCTTGTATTCATAGTAATGTGAAAATACTTCCTTGCATTGTGTACGTGTCTGTATGCTTCCCAGTATTCCCATTTTCCTTTCATAGTTTGGGAGGAAGAGGCACATTTCTAATTTTCTCTGATCAATTTACAGCAGTACGCTGAGCATTCTGACCAGAAAAGTTTACTTCAAAACCTTGAAGAACTCGGCTGCTCAAACCAAACTTCATTTTCCAGATCCAACTTCCATTTCACTGCTCAAGGTAGACAAGCATTCTGGTAGTAATATGTGAGGATAATGCACAATGAAAGAAGACTGCAGTACTGGGAAGAGAGTTGAATTTATACACTGACTAGATGTGTTTTGATAGGAACAACGTGATTTACATCAAGCACACTGTATCATTTTGTATGCATGACTTCTGGAGCAAAATAAAGTGCATTATGACCTGCCTGACACTGTTGGCCGTTGTCTTCAACAGTGGTTGATGTTTTATTCAGCATCTGAGACACACGAATCTATCTAGAGCATGAGACACATGAATCTATCTAGAGCATCTCCGTGAGACAGCAAGATTTCTCCGGTTCATCATCCCACTTCCCTCTCCCTTCTCCCCCGATCATAAATCAACCGGTAGCAACCTCCCCCCCTCCATCGGGACGTTTTTGCCTTACCGTGGATCCTAATCCCTCCCAGCCCCGCTGTATTAAGCAACAGCATGCTTTGATTTGAGTGTTTGCCTAGCCTGAAAGCAGAATCGGGAAAAAGTTCCCATGGGAGCTGGGTACACTGCAGGTGTAAGCCACCCTCTTGTCTTCGTGATTACAGGGTCATTTCCTTATGTCAGAATTTCATGTCAGAACCTACACCTACTGTATGTCCTGTGTAAACCAGGTGTAGGCAGTGGCATATCCAGGTTTCAGGTTCGGGGGCAATATGGATTTTTTTTCCTGAAAATGATGGTCCAAATCTTCTTTCATCCCTAAAAAAGTCCTTGCCACTGGAACCCCCCCTTCCAGATTGGTAGTAATTGCCTACCGTTTTGAAATTGTTAATCCTTTCAATTCCTTAAATGAAAAAAAATGGCAACATGTCTCCAGGAGAAACAACCCCCCCCCACATATGCCATTGGTTGCATGTAATGAATTTTTAAAAAAGAATCTAGCACAGTGCTTTGCTGAATTTAATGGCTCTGCCAACAACTACTTTTAAAATTTCGACAAAAGAGCTACGTACATTTGTCAGTGTATGGTTAATAGATCTATGACGCCTTTCTTGCTTGGTCCCATAGAATGAATATGTAGGCTAGTACGTTTGGTAGTTACACTTTGGTTTGCATTTAAAAGAAGCTGAGTTCTTTGCTTGACTGTGTGTGTATCACTCATGTTGGCATCCTGCCGGAATGGGCATTAGGAGGGTGAAAGATGAGAGCTCTCATTGATTTACATCGTGCAAGAATTCGTAATTAGGCCTTTAACTCAGAGGTGTCTGAGGTGACTTGCGACTCATACATTTTGTTCATTTAGGCCACATTTAACATTAAAAGCAAATTGTCTCAAATTCACAGTGACAAATTACTCTATTAATTTAACAAGAAAGCACACAAGCTAAGATATTTCCTCAGTACAATTTAAGTTCTTGTTTTAATATTTTTCATTTCCTTTCTGCTTTCTTAAAGCTTGAATTTGAAAGAGCACAACAGAAGAAGTTGGAGAAGGAGACCAAGAGATCCCAAGCAGCTCTCATTCAGGAGAGGAAGAAGCACCTCCAGTTTGCCAAAGTCATTCTGGATGAGCGCAAGGTTCTCTTGATGGAACTTGGCGAGATGAAGCAGCACATGGAAGAACTGGAGGACATGATGATTGTCAAGGAAGCTCAGCTGGCCAGCGCCAAAGGCTGCCTCCAGAAGGAACGCAAGCGGCTCACTAAGATGGAAGCCGGCATGGAGAAGCGGCTGTCCGAGTTCGACATCGAGCGGGAGCAGCTTCGAGCCAAGCTCAACCGGGAGGAGAGCAGGACTCGGGAGCTCAGGGAGGAGCTGGACGTGGCCAACAACTGCATCAATGACCTGCAGCTGTCTCTGGCTGAAGCCAGGCACACTGATGCTTCCAACGGCAACCAGCATAATCCCACTTCTGCCACAAATGGTGGAGATGCCAAGGGTAAGCCTCTGGGAAGGGTTACCGGGTCTCCAATTTCAGCTGCTAAAACGGGAAAGATCAGCACTCCAAGAGGAATCAGGACCCCTCCTCGTTATGACAAGTCAGAAGGCTCTTCCTCTGGTTCTGAGGAGTTGTGTAGCCCCCTTAGTCCTGTGACTTCTGCCACTAAGCATGTGCCAGGAAAGCCTCAGAAGAACAGTTACCAACCTCAGTACGGCACAACTGTGAAACCAACAGATGCAAGGAGCGTAGAAAGCGACAATGGAAAACCAGAGGTGAAGGCATCTGCCAAGCAAAAAGGTTCCTTGTTGTATTCCAAAGGGAATGGAAAGCCCTTGAGCCCAGCCTCAAGTCTTGATCGATTGAACAGAGCTCACACTTCATCTCCCCCACCTCAGAGAGGCAGCAAAATTCCATCGAGCACTGGAAACACTACAAGATCATCTCTGATGTCACCACAGCAAAACAGGAAAGGATCTGCTGAAATAGAGAAGCCAAGCCCGAGACAGCCACCAGCACAAGTACCTTCTCCAAAACCCACGGCAACCAATCTAGTGAGACCCACGGCTCTGTCTAGCTCTCCATTCCTGAGAGCGGTTGATGCTTTTAAAGCTGGTCCCAAGAAAGCAGCGGGGCTTCCTGGAGCACAGCCGTCCCCAGTTGTCTTTCAGCCCGCCAACAAAGCTCCATCTCCAAGTGTTCCCAAAGCTGCCGTGTCGCCCCTGGTGAGCACAACCAAAAAGCCGCAGACCTTCAAGCCACCAACACCAACCCAGCCAGCAATGCCCGTCTCAAAAATAAACCCACCGAGTCCATCAAGCGCCATCTCCCCCACTGGAGCAGAACCCAGCTCACAGCCCGCCAAGACGGGAGTCCAGCCGCCCACGTTCACACCCCCAGTCAAGCGCACTGTCTCCCCACGAGGTACCCCACCACCAGTACCGCCCAACAAGCCCACTCTCATCCCACAAAAGACTAACGCTTCTTCTTCTCCATGCACTTCTACTACCACAATCACTTCACCCGCTACGACACCACTCAGCCGACCCGACGCCAACAAGAACACGTGCCCCCTTGCACCCCCTCCCGTATCAGTGCGGAGGTCGGATTCGTTAGTGGAAGCCCGTAGACAATTTTACACCAACAAGCTGAGTGGTGGTCAAACTAACCCACGGGGCGGCGGCTTGGATAACCAACTGCTAATCAGTGCTAACAACAATTCCAACAACTCAAATGCTCTTGACACTCTTGCCATTGACACTAATGATGATTTTCTTTACGACGCCAGCGAGCAGCCTGGCCCACCTTTGCAAAACCATGCCCAAGCTGCGCCCACTGCACAGAAATCCACAACCCAGGTGGGTGGGGACATGCAGTCAGTTTTAAAGCTCAGCGGGGCCACGCCCATTCATAGCGATCATGGCTTTTACCATAACACCCTAGGGCCACGTCCTGAAGGTAAATTGTCCCTTTGAACCACTGCCAACCTTTGATTTATTTACCATTTCCTGAATTTTAACCCACAGAAATTGTGACGTCAGCACTTCTGTGTCTTACACGTGTACTTAGTCTGGTCAGTGTGAGAGACAATCGTGCCAACAAGTCCTGTGACCTTCCCACACCCAGAGGATGTGGCCATATGTTGATGTCTGTATTTCACAGACATGACCCGCAATGTTCCAAATTACCTGACATACTGCGACCAAACCAAATTACTCAGAAATGGTTCATTTGGCATTTCATGGGTTCCCTACTCTTTGTTCTGTCTGATGATGCTGTGTCACATACCGGTTGCTTGCTACTGGTAGTTCGCATGTAAGCCATCACTGGCTCACCATGGGAACTATCACTGAATGTACATGTACAATGTATGTACAGTATACTTCCATGAAGAAGTTCATTCAATTTTAAGTTCAAACAATCTTAGAGAAAAAGGGCATTTTCTCTTGATTTTAACGATCACAGAAATCCCAATTCATGGATAAACTTTTGAACTGCAGACTTCAAAATGCTATCCTCTTCCACAAAATGAAACATTTGCATTTTATGGCTGTTGATTAGCGACTCATTACAATTTGTCACTGATTGAAGAGTTCCAACCTTCCTTCAGGCCAGCCCTTAGCTGTCCCCTCCCCAAGGTCCTTCCCCCAAACTTGGCCAGACTGGCTGTTTTTTCTTTTGCCTAGAAGTCTCTCACACTGACCTTGCCAGACAGATTTAATCCACCGCCTCTGTTATTAATCTCACTGGAATACACAAATCACTAACTTGCTAACCTTAATAATTGTGTATAACCCGGACCCTTTTTTGGGAGGTGGGGGACCGGACTGTCAAACAGGGAACTGACTGCAGACATGTGAATGCATAGACTGCCAGCTATGGCTGCATCCGAATCTGTTGTCTAGAGCTAGGTCTTCGCACGCACAGGCAATAGACCTAGCCGTAGCTCTGGAAGCCCATTTCGGACACGACCTAAGTTTGCAAAAAATTGAATTCAGCAAGGAAACTGTAAGATTTTATTTGCTGAGTGCGATCAAAAGAGGGCGCAATATTCCTATAAACATTGGCAATGTGGGCACATTCGTTAAGGGATATTGCACATTTTACATACACATCCTCACATGGCCCTACTACAGACTGTGCACGCTTACAATGGAGGTCCTGCCACGTACTTGAACTTTTCAAAAATGAAAGCAAACCACAAAATCCTTACATTATATTCTATGGAGCTGGTAGCCTGTGTATGTACATGTGCGTGTCTGTGGAACTAACACTTTGATAGCCTCCTTGCAAGTTCACTTGTAAATCGTTCATTGGCCACGGTGAGTGATTATGTCATTACTGACCTTTTTGCCTAGGCACACTACTATGCCCTTCTCATGCACAGGGCAAAGCATTTGTTGCTAGCCAAAAAAAATCAACCTTGGGCACGGAGCAGTGATGACGTAGCATACAGTTTAGTTAATATGGCAGGAGAAATTTTCATTGTGGCTTAAAAACCCTGTGAAGAGTTCAGTTCTTTTGTACCCTTTCATGGGTATGCACAAACTCAGGATCCACCATTTACCGTCTGTGCTTTTAGTTAATAGAGTACGATATTGGATGTAAATTGTTCCCAGAGGTCACATCTTGGAGATAGTATGTTGCTCAGCATTTTGGTTGCACACTTATACTTTGAAATTGTTCATGTAGGTTCTTTCAGTTAATTTTCAGCTACTGAGAATTTAGACCCACTTCATGGAAATTTTGTTTTTATTTTATTCATTTTGGGATTCAGGAAGTCATGCTGGACATTTGCAACACCGAGCACAAATTTACATCCAGTGTTCCAATTTTTTTGTCCATGCACATGTATGTGTTAAAATTCCCAGCATGGCGTATTACAGTGTCTTGTTTCTTTGGTTTCCATTTTTTTACCCATCCATCCCTGCACTCCACAGTGCTCTCTGCTTAGAAAATACCAATGTAAGTAAAAAAAATCATTCTTAATTTGTACATCTCATTCATTATGTTTCAGTTTTAATATTTTCTTTTCAACATATCCTTGCCTTCGTATACTAAGTTCTTGGTTACATTTGTAGCTTTATTTTGTGTTTTTGTTTTCTGCATTTTGTTTGTGTTTTTATTTTAGTAGCAAAGTTTTTGTTGTAGCTGTAGTCACAATCTCTCCCAAAACATTGTGACATTCCAGTTGAATGACTTTTTTTTTTACTGAGTTCGTCATTGTAGTGATTCTGTATAGACTAGAATCTGTAACATCACACATTCTTATGAACCTCTACAATCTGCCATCTGTGATGTCAAACTACGTCCTAAATCAGCATCATTACCTTCAGCTACAAGTACATGCTGAAGCCCATGTACGGCAAGAAGTCCTAGCCACAAGATTTTTGGACATGGTCCCACTTTCACAGGTGGTGGACTGTATAGGACTTTTGGGAGGTGTTACTCAGAATGCATCATAATTACCTGGCTGTGGCTGGCACTACTATGTGTGTCTATGGGAGCCACTGTATAGTGGCTGCAGCCGTTTCCCATAGATGTATGTGCTACTCCAAGCCATAGCCAGTTGATTTGGACACAGTGCAAAGAACCTGTACATCCCTTAGATTTTGGTGATTGGTTTTGGGGTGTTGGTTGAATACACTGGTAGAGCAGCTCTATACATTACTGAATGAGTATTGTGCTGATATTGTCGTTCTCCTCAAAGCCTGTCCAGCAAGAGGATAACATCGTATAGAGGTTGTGCACGGTAGCCATTTTTCCAGCAAGAGCTTTTCTTTCGCAGAGATACACAACAGAAGCAGTATACCAGAAAGATGGCAGCCATGCACAACCTCTGTCACTGTAATTGTACCAGGGCTTTCCCACTGTGACCGTATCATTGAGGAATAAAAAGAAAACTTGCTATGCTCCACAGCAGGGAATTTCTTTTTGATCATTTTGAAAAATTCACTTCAAATTCCTTGTTTTTGTTGATGAATTTATTTGGCTCCAGACTTTTGAATGTTGCCGGATACACTTAAATCTAGTTGTGTGCCTGGAAAATGTCTGAAGGATATTATTGCTACATACAGGGAACCAGACTTCATAATTCAAATTGCAGTTTACACAGGATGTACTTCCTCAGGATTTGGTCAGAGTTTGCTTTTAGTGTTTTTTTGTTGCCACTTTGTCTGTGTGTCCATTAGGTTGTCTTTTGTCGTCCACTTCTTGCATGGTGGTGTATGTCTCCTGGTCATTTTTTTTTAACTAAGTCTCCCATTATGCATGGTCAGTTGTAGCAATGTTTTTCTCGATTTTTTTTTATCAAAGCCTTGTCGGCCATATTTTTGTTCAACGTAGTCTCACCACAGTTTTATTTTTTTTCCCTCGTGCCAAATATTCATGATTCAGTGACAATGCTTTAAGCACATTTGGAAGATTCAAATGTGTGATTTGTCACTAAACTGAGTTCCAAAGCCGCTTAAAAGGAGATTCAAAAGAGTCCTGAAAACTTCAGAGATTTTTGCAGTATACTTTATTTTGCCTATGAAGCTTACTGAGCCTTGAAACAATGAAATGGAGGGTCACTGCAGACTTTTTAAAAATTGGCAGCTTTTTTGGGGGGAGGGGGCCTTGGTTGGAGTTTGGCTGAATATGAAGCCCTGTGAGTGATGAAGGTGTACCAGCATGCCCATGGACCTTGAAAAATCCTGCAGTTTAAACAAGACTTCCTACTTCTCAAAGCAAACTCAGGAGGGCGCTGTTTAAGTAGGGAGCCAGTGTGCACTATAAATAGGGAGATACAAAAATGGGCTGCCCCTGTGGACACCAAATTGCTGCAAAATCCATTTGTGCACACACACACATGAAAGCCTCATGTATCACTGCTCACAGCGTCCACAGCACTTCACAACACTGAACTTGGAGATGCACGTAGCATAGCTGGCATGACCTTCACTTCTCTCCAAAGCCTCATCATGAATGGTCTTTTTTTTTCTTTAGTCTGCAACTACTCAACTTCTCTCAGGTCCCCCAACCTTCTGTTGGTAATTTGTTATTCCTTGCATCGGGCATGGCAGGTGCCTGGGTCTTTAGGCACTCGATCCATCTCAGTATGAAATACCAAGCCGTCACTTTGGGACATGACAGTTATAAAACTCCTCAGGGGGTCCACTGGGGATATGCACAGTCACAGGTGATGAGCATTTATCTTGCATCTTGTTGCTTCCTGATCAAGAGGAAGGGCTGTCCTTAAGTTAAAGGGGCCTACATGTAAGTCTGTCCCAAGCTGAAGTGGCGTTTTAGGCAGATGGTGATGGCTGTCTTATCCAGCCACAGAAATGATGGAGAATGTAGCCCTCTTTCTCTTGGATGGGATGCCAATGTTTGGAATGCCGCTTTCCCAACTGGTACTCGTGGGTGGAGGGTGAATGAATGGGGATGTAAAATGGTTCGCTCGGAGACACCTGTTGACCTCTGACCCCCTTCAATAGCCGATCATTTGAGCAAACTCTTTCCCTCTTTTTGTTATTGTAAGGAAAAAATGCACGTACAATTTCATTTCTTATTCAGATTTCTGGAATTTCTGAAAGCTGTCTGTTTCAGGAAAGCTTTTTTCTTTTTGATTATTTCCCTCATTACTTTTAGTATTTTGTATTTAAATTTACATTTTAAGTTTGTAAGAGTTAATTGTTTTGTTTCATGTCAGTTTTTAGAATGTTATGCATGCTGGAGATCAGAGGACTGTGTTAGCTGCTGTATGTTAATCAACTTGCAGTTCAGTGATCAGTGTAATATGCGATTTGTAGATGTACTAAGGGTAAAATATTCTTCTAAAAAAATTGGTTGGCACCAGTAATCACTACCCATTCCAGGATTTCGAAACTTTGAAAATGCCTTCCCATACCCTTTAATGTACAGTGTACATGTAAAACCCAAGTCCCTGTATATCAAACTAACAGTGTGGAAACAATTGTATTCAGCTGTTGCCAGGAGGGGTACTATATTTATACCGCATCAACATGTATACATGAGCAGACTGGCTCGTGTAACCTGTGTTTTGGCGTGAGACAGCCAGGCTAAAATATCCACACATACATCAAACACGTATGTGTTTTGATTTACATTTAGATACTCGCATAATATCTTGGGTTAGAGGATTTTCTTGGTGTGGATTGCACTTGTACGTCATAGCAGATGGAAGAGCACTGTTCAATATTTATGCAGCTCAGAATTTCCTTTTTTTCATTTCTGACTTCCTAGTTTCAGGTGAGATTGAGAAGCTGTAATTTTACAAGAGATGACGATATTCAAACCCACTCCAACTTTCTGCCAAAAAGAAATTCCTGACTCTGTTTAGCACAAACTAATACTTTCCTATCTATTTATGCTTGACAATCTGTTGTCAAAATTTGGCCTGGTGTTGTCAGGGATTAGTCATCTGTGACATACTAGGCCTAGACATATTAGGCCTTCCAGCAGAGTGAAAAATCAAGATGGACGTAAAGGTTATACCAGACAGGATTGTCATCAGGGTGTGTGTATTATATGCTCCAAGTCTGGGGTGACCTTTTTTTGGAGGGGGGGGGAACAGCTCATGAATTAGTACTCTATAGCTTAGGAAGTCCATGCAGCTATTCCAGAAACTCGTCATTAGGTGAAAAAAGATCACTAAAGTGGGCTCAAGGGAGGGAAACTGTCATGAGAGACAGATCAGCTTCAGCTCACTTCTGCTTGCTGCCCCCCCCCCAACACCAGAAACTGGAAGTGGGTCGGTCACTTCAGGACGTTTCTCCCCTCTCCTTCTGTCTTGCAGGTAGCTCACCTGTTATAGCCCGGCTCCCCCCTTCCACTGCCTCCCCGAGCTCCCCCTTGCACCTGGCCGCAGTGGAAGGGGACACCGCCACCATCTGTAGATTAATAGAGGAGAACCACAGCCCCACCATTAGAGAAATTGATGGCTCTACCCCTGTACATGCCGCGGCCGAGCATGGCCAGTTAGGTGAGGACCAGTTTGATAAGCCCATCCAATTTTCATGAGATTTTTTCTTTAGGAACCAAAAGTTACTTGACAATAATCCTTGACTGATAGATCACCCCATCCCCAAATGGAGAGGAATGAAAAAGCACCAAGGTCAATGTACTTTAGCTAGTATAGATGTCACTGAACTGGCTTGTTTAGGGCAATCTTAAAAACAGATGTCATACTCGATGGCCTTACAGTGACAGGGGTGGGTTTTTTTTTTTATATTATTTTTTCAGATTTCTGATTCAAGAGTTCTGGATTCTTGAAGGGTTGATCATTGAGGGTTTGGTGCTGTTCGGCACTTCATGAGCTAAATCCCCGAGCAAAACTCACGCAAAAAGCCATTTGACAGAATGCTTGCCTAGTATGGCTTGTTAGCTGTTAAAAATCCTGTTGCAGTATTTTTATCATCATCACAGCGACCCCTCTGCACAGTGTTTCAGGGAAATCTTTTCGTGTCCCATTTCCACCCTTTGGTTGTTCCATGCCAAAATACAGGGGAGAGACCATGATTTGGCTGCCTAACAACGCACTGGTCATATATGCAGTGTCCCTTGAGTTTGTAGTTACCATATGCTGTGTGCACCAACCCCAGCTGGGACAAGATGGCCCAGAAGTTGTCGTCTTTTTTAATTCATGAGACCTCAACTTGCATTTTCATCCACAGATTGTTTAGAATTACTTTTAGACCTTGGAGGTGATGCTAACATAGCTAGGACCGATGGTGTCACGCCCTTACACAGCGCTGCTGGACAAGGACATGCTGGGTGAGTCTTGACACAAGTTCCAGATTTTTAATACAACGTGAGCGGGCCAATTTCATAGAGCTGCTTAAGCACAAAAGTTGCTTTAAGCGCGAAAAAACATTGCTCGATAAATCAGTTAACCAGCCAAAATTTCATGTGATGTATATTGTTTTGGGATTGTATTTAGCTGTTTTTTGGTTAGCATGACATTCAGATAGAGTTTCAACTGGTAACCTTTGTTTATTAAGCAAAGTTTTTTCCTGCTTAAGCAAATTTTGTGCTTAAGCAGCTCTATGAAATTGGCCCCAGCTGGTGATTAGAGTTTCATGAGACCAGTTTTAACCAAAGCAGAGTATCTGATGATAGGCTTTTGTGTCAGCCAGAGCTATTACTGACCTGATTACAAGTCACATGATCATAGTGTAGTTGTAAATCATCATTCAGTCAATGTTCAGGTGGCAGTCTATTCAGATGAAAAGACATTCCTTCATTTTTAGACCCCCTTTTCCTCCTACATTCAAAGTAGGATTTGACTTTTTATTTATTAGTTATTCTGAACACTCAATTCCTATTCAAGAGAAACTATACCAACATTATGCCAAACAGTTTGCCTAGAGATTTGTACAGAATTACATTGACAGAGGCTCACAATCTGGGGACTTATTTGATTTGTGTTGTGTCATTTTTTCATCCCATGAAGCTCTCTAAATCTTTTCCCTCACCAGATGTTTGAGTGCATTGCTCGACAGAGACTGTAACCTCTGCACCCCAGATTCCCTCGGCTGGTACCCACTCCACTGGGCAGCAGCTAATGGTCATGCAGAATGTGTCAGAATCCTTATTGACCGTGGAGCACCGCGAGACTGTGTCACAAAGGTAATGCTGGCTGAATTTTCCCAGCTTAATGGGCTGTAGTGTAGTTGCAGGGATTCAGAGTGTCTAATATAGGCTTTGCATGGTAGCCATCTTGCAAGGCAGTTGGTCTACATTGAAACCTCCTTTGTGCACACCAAGTGGAAAAAAAGCACTGACCCTGAAGATAATAGCTCTGCAGGCCCTCTGTATTTGAAACAGTCCAAGACTTGAGGCTTAGAAATGTGATGATTTGTGTTGGAATCCCATCTTGTCATGCTATGCTTGTTCATACAGGGTTTTTATTTGAATAAGCTGCATTAGGTTTTAGTTCCCAAGTTAAAATGAACAAACTTTCCACTGCCTTCTCTAAATTAATTCTTCATTACACTCTGGTGCAGTAGTCAAGTATTTAGCTTTTTTGGTTGTCATTATATGACTCAAACAAGCTGGCAAACTACTTTTTTTTGTGAGTACATCGGTTTGTTCTCAGTCAGTTTCAACACCGTTCAACAGGACATTTGTAATTCTTTCAATTTCAAAATTGGTCTTATATGTTCAGGGTGGATGGACCCCCTTACACTGTGCTGCCAAATACAGCCACGCTGAATGTCTACAAATCTTACTATACCACGCATATCCCACTGCTGCCACCACAACCCATCCTGACAACAGCCAACCTGCTGACAGGGCTGTGTCATGTGACCTGCTCAACATGGCAGACCAAGAGGGATGGACAGCCGCTCACGTGGCAGCATCGACAGGGCAAAAAGTAGGTTGGAAAATAATTCAGCCTCGCTCCCTTAAGATTCGGGAGAAACTTTAGTTTCCAAAACAATCCACCTTTACCTTGAGCTGAACTTGAACTTGACTGCAGTACTCGGCCTCTTGTGTAGTTGCAAATGCCCTCGGGACGCTTCCTGTAGTGTTAAAAGAATATGAGACTGCACCACGAAATGTGGTGGGGAAGACTGTTTGAATGACTCGTGCGCATCAATATTCATGGTATTTGGCCGTACTGCAAAAGTTGGCCGTACGTCTTGCCCTTTTTGAAAGTGGAAATTTTTAGCCAATATAAAGGTCATCTGCTAGTGGTTAAGGGGTCATTGTTATGCTTGAGACCGCACAAAACCATCTCAAGACCTCCAGTCTCAATTCAAATCATAAGCTATTGAGGTGAACTGCTACAAAGGCATTCCTTTGTCATTGGTCATTCTAAAAATCGTGCCTGGTCTTTAGAATATTCTTGTTTTTGCAAGTGACTGTGTTAGTATTTTTTCATTTTTTTTGAGTTTATAGATTCAAAAGGGCCCTTCATCGCAGCAAGTTTTGTCACTGAATGTTGAAACATTTGCACCATTTAGCAGAAAAATGTTTAAATCAACCCAAAGGGCTGGGGAATTTAAACGTTGTATTGTTGGTTCATTTCAGGAGTGTCTTGAGGTACTGTGTAACTATGGCGACCTGAACCTGGACGCACGAGACAAGTGGCGCAAAACTCCAATTGACGTTTCAATAGACTCTTGCAAAGAATTCTTCTCAAATTTAGGTAATGATTTTGTCGACTGAGCTTTATCTTGCACCAAAAATTGTTTTCCATCGCAAGAATTTCAACCAAAAAAGTATTGAGACTATGCACTGTGTTTCTGAAGGTCACAGGTCTTAATCTAGTAATCGATATGTAACTGAAGGTTAACATTCATGCATATGAATACAGGCGATTCACAAAAGTGCACCTCCAAGAGTTTGCAAGGCAATCACAGTGCATGAAATCTGTCGACCCTTTCGTGAATCGCCCATATCGCAAGTCATATCGGAGTTCTGAAATTAGAGGAAGAATTGGTGAACGCTTATGGTTGAAGTTCCAGAGTCTTTAAACACCAGGACCCATCAAAGATTAGTTGTTTCTGGAACACTTTTAGGAATTAGTGCTTTTGGTATTTTGGCTCATGTACAGTGGGAAGGACAGTACATGTTTCCATCAGCCTGGGAGGAAATACCAATAACTTGCTTAGCAACCAGAGAGAGGCAAACCAATGCTATGTCGCAGGGCAGCTGACTGTACGACCCGGAATGACCTGGACAACCTTTGACCGCTGTATGGCATCAGTTCTGTGCAGTCACTCACGGGTAATAATTTTAGGCTTTTCTGTTATCAGTGTGTTTACTTTTGTCAAATGAAATCAACTTATTTCCTGTTTATAGTAGTTCTCTTCCTCTTTAAGATCTTCCTATAATGAATGTTTTGTTTCCCTGTGAATTTGTATATCAGGATTTAGAAGGCTACGCTCGGTTGAAATCTGAACCAGACAATGAAAGTGACGAAGGTTCTGACTGTGGCCAGGACCTTGGGTTGAATGCTGGTAGTATCGATTCCTATGTTGCAGGTAGGTCCCATCTTTCTCATGTCAGTCATCTTAAACCCAATTTTTTCTGTCTTGTCATTGAAATGATTTGTTTTTGTTAATAGGGAGAGCCTTTTTCTCAGCAGTATCAGATGTTATTTTAGGATATCTGTCTTCGTTCTTCAGTGCTAGTTGTAGAAATATTTCACAGTGAAATTTGATTGCTGTAAGAGAAAAATATTTTCTCTTAATAGACCAAAAAAGAACTAGCTACAAACTGGTCACATGCAGTGCACATCTCATGTTCTATTGGATAGCTGTCCCTTTTTATAAGGCATTTTTTTGTTCAGCACTTATGTCAGCTAATAGCAAATACTTCGTAATCAGGCACGTGTACTTTGGACACACTTTGGACTATTGGAATAAGAAAAACCCTTGCACAGTAAGCATGTCCAGTAATAATACTGTACACTACACCTGCTAATTCATACGTATCTATTTGGCCAGTAAACCAGTTGCGGTTGTCTTAGTTGTTCCATATGGAGTACAGATTCCAGTGAGCAGTTCATTGAATTCCGTGGCCAGTGTGGCTATTGGACATCAGAATTTGAAAGTTGAAACATCAGAATTATTCCAATACCAAGTTGGGATAGCTTGTTGATTTGTTGATTTCCCCTTAATCTGTAGGCAATTTGCAGTGGTCGCCGGGCAAGGGCCCGCAGAGCATGCAACCTTATGAACTGTTTGGCTTGACCACTGATGTCGTAGTGCATCTGTGTGGGATAGACGCAGGACGACTCGACCAGCTTGCGTATGAAACACTGATCCCAACGGCCACCCTACAGAATTACGTCAGATTGGTAAGTTGATTTAAGATCATAATGGAAGGCCATCAAATGTGAACTGTGTTAGCCCCAATCTGGTCTCACATTCCCTCCCCGTTTCACCCAGCCGAATTGACGGAGCCCCTAGACTGAACACAGACCCTAACCCCTGCAGATGGTGATCTGAGCCATCCATGAGCCCCTCTCAGTAACATCATGTCCGAAACCGCCTTCCAGAACTACAGCTTTGTGTTGTTGTTTTTTTTGAGATGTGCGCGTGCAGATCTGGACATGAGATCCACCATCTTTGTCTAACCAAATTACCGTCATGTACCATCGGCACGGTGATGATTTGTTGCCAACGCAAGTGGTGTTTTCACTGTTTCTGCAGATTGAACAGTATAAGAGTGTTGTGTTCTACGGCCCGGCAGGTACCGGGAAAACTCTGTTAGCATCAAGACTTGCAGAGTATGTCAAGGTAAATTGTCACATTTAAAAACGTTTCCTTCAAACTCGTCACCGCTTCCAAATATTTTCTTTGTCACTTTTGCCCACATTTAATCCCGAGTAAGCCAAAATCACAACAGCATGTTTGCAAACATTCACTCAGCCCCTCCCCACCCCCGTAAAATAAATTGCCAGAGGTTCATATTGTGTAATTTGTAATCATGTCTATCCATCACTGGAAGGAAGGTTAGCCCCCAGAGCATATCCATCTTATGTTTTTTTTACAACTACAAATGGTAAACATGGCCAATTCTGAGGTATTTTCAAACAATTTGGTCGTTTTCCTCCCTTTTCCCATTCTTTTCAGTTGTTTTTCTTTTTCCATTTTTTTTATTCCTGGGGCGTGATGGCCATGACTAAAAGTAATTTGTGACATCAACATTTTTAGGTCTTCCTGTATTTCAAATACAGTGTATGTGCAGTCCAGAGTACATGCTTTCTCTGTCCTTGAGGAAGCCCATATCACGGGATTGCAACCTTAATATCGCTAGAAGCAAATGTGACATTGCCCTTAGGGACATCCACCAACCCGTCAGCATTGCACATTTAGAGAAACGCATTGCCTGCAAACTTTTTATCATTTTCTTCCAAAGACCAAACAGCATCAACTGAACCTCAAGAGCACCATACACCACATTGCCCTACATTCCAAGATGAATCAGCAGGACCTCACCAAGCTACTGTGCAGTAAAGGTATATGGATCATTCCATGAATTTGGGGTCCGTTGTCCTTTGCTTTGTCTCCCTGTTTATTAGATTCATTGCCTAAGCCAGTGTGGACAGATTCGTATTGCAAGCTGATTGCTGCCGTGGCTGAGCTTACTTTATTTGATTTTAATCCACTTGATTCATTCAAACATGGTTCAAGTCAAAAGCCAATGTGTTGTCCCTTTATAGGGGTTACACCTTTACATGTAGTCTGGAGTTCAGTGCGTAGCCTGAGTTCACCTCAACACCTGTTTACTATTGAAGTTAGAATGTATCAGAAATTTAAATATCAACAATGGGGTAATGTAAAGGGGCCACCTGTCTCCCAGTTTCAGAGCTGCAAAGAGATGGGATATGTTGAGAAAGAAATTCATTTTGCTTGTTTTTATGTGTTGGACAGTTTTCCGTCTTTCATTGACTGCATTTGACTAAATTGACTAACTTCATTTCCACGGCAGTGACTGACATTGCACATGATGATTTTATATTGTAAATCAGGAGTTTTCATCCAGTCCTCTGACCTCACAACGCCCAAGGCCTTCCCAATCCTAGTAATAGATAACCTGGACAAGTCCACACTGCCGGGGGTGTTATCAGACCTACTGAAGGGGCTTGAGCACAGAGGCACACAGCAGCCAATCCAGTTGTCATCCCCGCAAGGCAGTGGGCAATTCCACCTGCATCCAGAGTGCACTTTTATTTGCACCATGGACAAGAGCAGGTATTTGAGATCATTTTTAAACTTTGACAACAAAAAATTATTAACATGAGTCTAAATTTAATTGAAAATTGCGTCCTGTATGTTGAATGTTGTAAATTGTACTTTGAATTTTTTAGTTGAACCTATTAAATATGCTTCAGTTGGAAAGTGTGCTACAACTGAATTTTTTTGTAACAAAGAAGAAGGGGTCCATTTTGTTTTTCCATATTTGAAACATTTCTCTGATCATTTTTCTTTTCAAATCCAGCTACTAAAAGGAAAGAAAACTAAGTCTTGTCAGGCCATAGACTTGCATTGAAATGATTGTTATTTTTCTGCGTACAGCTCAGGATTGGACCTGTCCAGCCAGCACTGCTTCCGATGGGTCCAGCTCCACCACGACCGGGAGCCTGTGGCCAGCACTTTACCCCGCTACCTCCTGCGGCGGCTGGTCAGCCACACTGGCGGCCGTCTCCCCCAGGCTGAGGACCCCGCCTACCGTGCCATGGAGTGGGTCTGTCACGTCTGGCAGCGCCTCAACGACTGTTTCCTGCGGCTGAAGCTCAAGCCTGCCCTGCTTGGCCCCAGACACTTCCGCGCCTGCCCGGTGGACTCGGAAGGGCCAAATTCTGTGTTCAGGTGAGAATGGAGCGAGATCATCTAATCCGTGCCGAGCGGGGAACAAGAGAGGGGAGTGTTTCTACAAAGTAATGACAGTCCTTTGGTAGGAACCCACTTCATGAACTCACAGATTTATGGGTGTTTGGCGCGGATGCATCGAACATGCCAGACCAATTTCTGTGTACAGTCTGCGCTAATGCCCCATCATGTGGTAGGAAAATCCCATATTGCCAAAACAATGGAAAATGTCATGCCCTGTCCTCGCTGGTATAGTAAGCATGACCATGAAGTGTACCTGGTGGTTAAGCAAGAAATTTGCTGCTGAATACCTCACAAATTACTAACGATTGTGGTTTCCTCAACTGTTTTCCTTCCCTCGTAGGTGGTTTTGTCTGTCTTGGAACCACGCTATTGCACCCCAGATTGAGGACACCCTCCGCAGAAAGAGCTCGTCCAACTCCCACAACTACCAGCGCCTGGTCAGCACCACCCTCTACGTCTTGCTGCAGCGTGCCGTCTTCCCTGGCTGCCCCTTCACAGGGGAAGGTAGGATGCAGGGCAATTTTCTGTTGTGTAAAGAGCACCCAAGGGTGGATCCAGAACCATTTTGGGAAGGGCAAAAATTGTGAAGTTTTTTGTGTAACCTCTTTTTGCCTTCCTGAGGGGTGAGGCTACATTGTGTGGGGCTTTTGACACACTTTTGGAAGGAAGGAAAATGAAAGAAGTTGCCTCTCAGACTTTTTCACAAAAATGTTCTTTATGTCAGGCATATTCCAGCAATTTGTGCACAGGACCTCACAGCTAGTTCCTGAGTTTTTGCACAATCTACACCTTTTTTTCTCATCCTGGTTTGCTAGAAGCAGACGACTACATGTCCAGTTTCAGGGGAGTGAACGAACTCCTAGCCCAGCTGTCGTCACAGAAAACCAACAGCCTGAAACGCTCCCCCCGTCGGAGTAAAAGTCTGGATCGCAACAAGAGCAGCAACAAAGCAGCATTGATGGCCAGCAAACGGCAGTCTGCCTTGGACCTAGACAGTCAGCATGCAGGTAGGAGGCCGTTTCACGCATTGCCTTTTTAAACAAGCAAACAGCAGTATATTTCTGATCTAGATGACCGTCACAAAGGTAGGAGGCTGTTTCGTGTATTTACAGGCCAGCTGTATTTATTTATAACTTGTAATGGCAGCAAAAAGCAGTCTACTTGGGAAGTGAGATAGTCAATGCACTGACTGACTGGTGGCCATTTTGCACATTATTAAACAGCTGTGGAGGTAATTGCCTATTTATTTTGTAGCATGTGCTTGCAGCAAACAGCAGCCGGTTTTGGAACTTGGTTCCAGTACGCAGGCGGGATGCCCTCTTGTGTATCGCTGTTATGATCAAAAGCCAGGTGAAGAAGGAATTGTAGTTTCAGGGGACTCTGTTAGGGTTAAGTATTCCGAGGGCATTGTTTTAGGAAGTAACAAAATCCAAAGAAAAGTATGGTGTTTGGGAGTACCTGCTGAGGTTTTTGGGTGGGGGGTGGGGAAACAAGCACAGTTCAAGTCAGGAATTGATTTTGTGCATGAATAAGTGAGTTTATTTCAACCTGGTATGAGGTGCCAAGCGCATCAAAATTCACATAGTACCACGTGTGAAGCAAGAAATTTTGAGGAGTAACTACAGAGAGAAATCAATCAACTTTCATGGAATTGTTACATAATGATACAGTATGACAGAGTCATAGGATAATTCAACATTTCTGCTGGATCACATCCATGTATTTTATATACAGTTATGCAGTCACAGAATCGCACAGCTCATATAACTAAAAAAAAATGACTCCATTTTTACTTTGTGGGAGAGCTAGACTATAATTTGTAGATGAGTTTTTACAGTCGTATGGACACAATGCACAGTATATTCCACCAAAGTTCATTTTTAAACATGTGCAAATATGCAAATGTATATAAATACTTTCTACATACAAACATAAGCATTTTGACTAGCACTTAAACTACTTGACATGTTTTTAATAACTTCACCTTAGTAAGCCTAGGTTTTTTATCACCTACATGTATTCTGTCAGATTTGTTGCTGTTTTCAATTAAGCACAAAAAACCTTGCTTAAAAAACAAAGGTTATCAGCTCAAAATCTATGTGATTGTCATGCTAACCAAGCAACAGGTGAATACCATTCTAAAACAACATACATCACATGGAGTTTTGGCTAGTAACCTGAGTTGTCAAGCAAGGTTTCTTCACGCTTAAGCAAATTTGTGCTTAAGTAGCTCTATGAAATTGGCCCTTTAAAAAGGTTGGTCTTTGGGATAGCCAAGATGTAAGAGGTTTTGAGCTTCCCTCCAAGGCAGCACTTCAAATTGTTTTTCATTTTTTTGGCAGCTGCACAGCTAAGCTTTGTATACTTACACATATATGCAAAAAGCAATTTAACATTCATAAAATATACCTATAAATCTAAATTAATAAGGGAATAAACATCTACTTGGCCAGTCTTAAACGTGCATTTAAGACCGGCTCAGGAGAATGGACTCGACAACTGCCTGAGCAGCCGGTGAGGACATTAACAGCGTTGATTCTGTTAATTTAATGTTTCAGACCAACCAAGCAGACATTTAATCCCATTCATAAATATCATTGTAGTCAGAGAGTCGAAGGAAATCAGTATACATGTACGATAAATTTGCAAAGATTTTATTCAAGAATTTTTCCTTTATTCTGCTGAACACCCCTGTTTTTTATGGTATATTCCTGTGCAAGTCTTCTAGAAGTATCTCCGTAAACGGACTTGGAGCATGCGTGCTGAGGTCTGCGTGCCAAGCGCACACAAACTCTTGACCAATAGGAATGGATTAAACTCTCGTATCCAGGTGCCAATACATCTTTTGTGCAGTGGGCATAATCAAATGTTAATACACAGTCACATTACGAGTATTGATCAACAGGAAGAGAAAAATTGTATTTATGAATATACATTAATGTTTAATTTATGAATACTTAAGTTTAGTTGTGCATAAACACGTAATATATGTACATTATTAAACTTGTAATAGTTGTTATGCTCTGCACTCTCATTGTCTGTGGTGTGATATAGCCACAGAGTACATGTAAACCCTTAATGACTTGGTTTTGAATAGTTTCATGGTTCATCTTAGCCGAGAAATGGAAGTAGCATGGGAAAAAGGGTACAAATCAGTAAAGTAAAGTTGGGAGTACATTTTGTGCCTTAAAACTAAGTCTTACGTGAAGCCGCAGAGGTATTGGAAACACATGTCTTCAGTGACACTGATGTAAATTGAGAAGATTTGGTGGAATTTTTTAGTGGAATTCTGCTGCCTTTGTAAGCAGTGTTTTTGTTCATTTTTTACAAGATTAACGTGATCACAACACTCGGCTCAGCCACAAGTTTTCTTAGAGGACAGCAATCATAAACTAACATCATTGGTTGGTCCGACAATTGCATTTATTCCGAGGGTGCTGAGATCCCCAAGTTCACAATCTGGATGTAGTGATTCAGTTTGTTCGTGGGTCTTTTGACGAGCTTTATTCTGGCTTTTTTCTGAACGTACTGTTGGAGAGGCGGTATGCTGCGATCTGGATTGACAGTTGCAGCGAAATGCCTGTCGGAATGCAGCACGGTACGCTCTGTTCATGGCCCCGTAGATCAAGGGATTTATCATTCCATTGATATACTGGGGAATACTGGATATCCATCTGGTATTCCTTCCTAATGCAGCTGACATCGGATTTGGAATCTCAGCCAGTGAGCAGATCCACTCAGCCATGCTGAAGATGCGATATGGAGTCTGGCATAAAAAGAATACCGTTCCGTTCACTACCAGTATCTTGGCCACTTGGTTTCGGATTTGACTGGCATTGGGATCATTATTGGCAAGGTCATTGTCACTAGTGCGTTTGTTGAGAGTCAGTATGATGCACAGGTACATGTGAGTATTGGCCACCGTAGCAACAAGCCAGGGAACATTCTGTAGGGGATGAGTGTAGTTTGTTATCCATGGGGCAACGGGGCCACAGTACACTCTGATTGATGGATAGCTTTGATATGAATCATCATCGGGCCAAAGCAAACATTCCATTGTCTGTACTGTATTTTCCATTGTTATTGAAACAGACAGCAGGCATCCTGCCATCCAGCAGATTGCGACTATTCTGTAGGTTCGTCTCTGCCCCCGGATTTGACGATGTTTCATGGGATGGCACAGGGCGAGGTACCTCTCAAAGGACACCATGGTAACCAGCACAATGGAGGCAAAGTAGCCCGTGTTGACGAAAGTGCTAGAGATGATGCATTGGGCGGAATTCACAAAAGGGAAATGAGAAGCCAGTGGGGAAGCTGTATAACTCCACCATGTGATTGCGGACGCCAAACTCACATAGAGAAGATCAGCAAGTGCCAAATGGGCCAGGTAATAGTTGGTTTCTGATCTCAGTGTGCGAACGCGTAGGGTGACAAGGAGAAAAGTCATATTAGTGATCAGAGCAAGGCACCAGAGAGTTGGTATGATCACTGCTATGAGGAAGGTGTCGGTTGTGGAATAAAGCCACTCAGAAGCTTTTTCCTGACTGATATTGACAGTCTCTTGTTTACTGCACTCACCTGATGTTATACCGGCTCCCATGGTGGAGATGGATAGTACTGTAATCAGTTTATGTGAGAGGTCCACAGATATGTGTATTGACTGTCGGGGTAATCAATCCCTCGGCACAATTCTATTTGATGTCTTCATGAGCGTGTCGGCCCTTACAGAGCATTCAGTTGTTCAAAGCCCCTGTGATTGTTGGAGGGAGTGCTGTCAGCTTGGGTGTCCATTGTAGCAGGCTTGATTCAAGCAAATGAATCCTTCTGCTCAAGAAAAGATGGCACAAGTCTCTCTTTGAAAACAGCCGACTGACATTTCTTCTCCAAGGCTGAGTTGGCCCGTCCTCTTCACTATCCTCATCTGTGACATTTAATCAACTGCTTGTTATGCTGCATCATAATAAAGATACTTGCGACAAGTCTGGCAGTCATGCATTATGCCTTTGAAGAATACTGCCGTCTGCCTGCAGTGCAATTAGTTCTGTATGAGCAGTTTACGAGTGTTGTAATTTTTTTTATTACCCCAAATTAGTTCTTTGGCAAACCGTTTTTTTTTTCACACTTCATTTGCTATGTGTATCTGGAACCCTGCTTTTTTTGACTGACGCATCCAGATAAACAGTAACATATGAAAAATGAAAATCATAATGAGCTATTCTGGGTATTTACACAGCTCTGCCTTGGATGAGTAGGGTTACCCATTGCCAATTTTATTAGTTCTGGGTGAAAAGTTTTACGAGTGTTACATTTCACTGCTCAAAAGAATTAAAGGATCGGACACTTGTATTTGAGAATATCAGCCAGTGTACCTCATAGATTTAAGTTATTGTTCACTGAAGAACATGTTCATGCCGGAACATTACTATACTAAATGACATTCATATATTTTATAATGTAAATACAAAATTGTAAAATATTAATCAGTGAGTGTGATCCTGTAGTTTGTTTTTGAGTAGTGTATTTATATAAAGTTGTTATGTTACATTTAGTGTGAAAAACCCAGTGTAAAATTAACACTTCCATAACACAAAGCCAAAGGAATTTAATGTCAGTAACTGCTTGCAATAACCCACAGTTGGATTGGATTCTAGCCAGCCACCCAGTCCTAGCATAGTCGGTGGTTAAGACGTCGGCAGAAGTAAGCAAGATGTCGTAGGTTGGAATCCCATTTGAGCAGGCTTGTGATTTTTTTCACAAGTATCAGACCACGCTAAGAAAAATTGTGATCATATTTTGTGGTTTAAGGGCAAAACCTAAGTGTAGAATGAGCCTTTTCTTGGCACAGAGCCAAATATATTAACGTCAATGACGATATATTACCCTTCATTTTGATTGACTTTACAAGCACTAATGCACCTCACAAATGATCTGATGCAGTTGATTAAACATGCAGTATGGACATTATCTATTAAAGGTCAAACCACTTGGTTAAAAACATATAATGTGAAATAAAATGAATGGATTACCCTATTGAAATTAATGTATGAAGAAAACCAGTCTAAATTTTTTTTAAGGGTAAAACTTCACATTGAATAAATGAGGATAACGATAATAATAATAATATCACAGAATATCACAGTCACTTAGCATTTCTTGTTCAAAGGTGCTGAAACAGTAATATCCCTGTTCATTGAGTTCACACTATTGGAACATGCCCAAGACGGTTTCAGATCCTCTGGGAGTTTACTAGCCTGATGCTGTCATTCCAGGCACTACTGTCTGAACACAACATAACCTTGTTACTCCTAGGCAGAGAGAAACACGTACAAGGGTAAAGTGGCTCACCCAAGGTCACAACTGACCTTATTCCTGAGTGTGAATGGTATTGTGTTTATGTTTTCATCTGACCTTATTCCTGGTTCATTTTACCTAATCTGCTGAGTGTGCATGGAATGATGATGTCTTCAAATATAGGTTTTCCTGCACATTTTTTCAGTTCATAAACCTTTTTTAACATAAAACTTGTGTGAAAAAAATTGTGACCTTTCCTATCCCACATTTAATTTTGTCATACATTTTGCATACATTTACTATACTTTTTTGTGAAAGAAAATTCAAGTTCATCGTCCGCTGTTGCGGAACATATGAAGTATGAAACTATATCGTTTTGCAATCAATGTTATGTTCATTTCATTCAAATTCATCACATAATTGCGTGCTATCTTAGGCATTGTGTTTATGTTTTCATCTGTTCATTTCTTCTCAGAACGTGGTTACTTCATCTTTGTGTGTCCGTTTAACATGAAAAATGAATCTTTTTTCATAGATATATGTGCATCCATTTTATTTCGACAGTTTCATGTGCCAACAACAGGACAAAACTAAGCCTATACCTGTACATGGGCAAATGGAAATGTATACTTTCCATTTCATGCAGAAATAAAGTAGGGCTGTACTTATGAAGAGCAAACTGTCTTTATATTTTCACATCTTTCAGAAACTATGTTATTTGGGGCTTAATTACTATTAGCAGAACTTATGCTATTGTTTTAAATGTAACAAAGTGGGACACGAAAAGTTACTGTGTGATACTCCATATTGCCATTGGTTTTACCAGAAAGTGTGACTGCAGAATGCTTTGTAACCCATTTGTAAATTGAGAACAATCAATGCCAATCATGAAGAATTAATTCTTTAACACAACACATTTCAGAACTCAATAAAAATCTTAAAATCAGGTATTTTGTTCCATATTTTTTTAAAGTGGTTGATAGATGACCACATCGTTTTTGTCTTTAAAAAACAGTAAGCAGAATTCTGTTGACTTGTGGTACTTCAAAGCAACCCTTCAAAGTGTAGTAATGTGAGTGTCCATCATACACACCACTTTGTTAGTAGAGCTCATAGATCGTCGTGTTCACAGTCTGGATTCAGTGAGTTCACTTGTTGCTGAGGTCTCTTGAGTTTGGGCATGGCTTTTTACTGAATGTATCACGTGAGAGGTGGTACCTCTTTGACCGGGCCATCTCTGGCAATGAAATGCCTGTCTGAGTGCAGTACGGTACATTCTGTTCATGGCTCCATAGATCAACGGATTTATCATTCCATTGATATACTGGGGAATACTGGATATCCATCTGGTATTCCTTCCTAATGCAGCTGACATCGGATTTGGAATCTCAGCCAGTGAGCAGATCCACTCAGCCATGCTAAAGATGCGAAATGGAGTCTGGCATAGGAAGAACACTGCTCCATTCACGACCAACATCTTGGCCACTTGGTTTCGGAGTTGGATGGCATTGGGGTTGTTTCTGGCAAGGCCATCATCACCAGTGCGTTTGTTGAGAGCCAGTATGATGTGCACATACATGTAAGTGTTAGCAATCATCGCAATAAGCCAGGGAACATTCAGTAGTGGTCTAGTGTAGTTTTTTGCCCATGGTGTGACAGGGCCACAGTATGCCCTACTTGAGGGATGGTCCTCATATTTTTCATCGTCAGGCCAATGCAGACAGTGTACAGTTCCAACTGAGTTGCCCATGGTTGTTGACATGGAAAACAGGAATCCCACCAGCCAGCAGATTGCAACCATTCTGTAGGTTCGTCTGCGCCCACGGATTTTGAGATGTTTCATGGGATGGCACAAAGCCAGGTATCTCTCAAAGGACACCATGGTAACCAGTGCAATGGAGGCAAAGTAGCCAGTGTTTACAACAGTATAATAAGTGAAGCACTGGACAGAATTCGCAAAAGAGTGGTGTGCCACCGGGGAAGCTGCATAAAGCCACAATGTTTTTATCGAGGCCAGACTCACATAGAGAAGATCAGCAAGTGCCAAGTGTGCCAGATATATGTTGGTGTCTGTTCTAAGTGTACGAACACGGAACGTGACAAAGAGAAAAGTCAAATTAGCGATCAGAACAAGACACCAGATAGTCGGTATGGTCACGGTTATAATGAAGGAGTCTGTTGTGGTATAAAGCCATGCGTTCACTTCTTCCTCACTGATGTTGAAGGTGTCTTGCTCACTGCACTCACCTGATGATGCACCAGATCCCATGTTGTGTCTGTTAACTTGGCTGCTTCCTTTGAGAGTTCTTTAATTTTTTGAAGCCACCGCCAAGCTAGGAGTCATCAGTGGCATGCGCAATCCTGCTCCATGTCTACACAGGAGCATCCGCCCATTGTGCATGTGTCTCCCCTGAAGAAATGCAGTGATTTCAGACGTTGAATCTACTGAGATACGTCCAAGCAGGAACTCTCTTAGCTCAAGCAAAAGGTGATCAATGGAGCAAGCCTGGCATCTCTCCAGGGCTGGCTGAGTTCAGTGTCATTTGAGCTGTGTTCTCTGCCTTGAGCCAGTTGTTTACCATCCTTGTCAACATTTTCAGATGCTTTTTGTATCACAACTGCCCCAGTTCCATTTGTCAAAGCAATCAAGCATGAACCATTTGTTACATTAATTCCTGTCAGTTTTTGCCTCATCACAGCAGTGCCAAAAAATGCCAGTTCCATTAGTTTTTAATGAGCAGGCTTAATTTATCAGTGAGTATGTCAGTACCTTTCAGGTCGTCATACTTGAACAAACACATCTTGGGCACTCAAAATTGCTTTTGAGGTTCCCTGGCAAATTTCATCACGGTGAATGCTCCTGCTCTATTTATACATGGAATATGCCACTGCAGCTGATAAAAATGTTACCAGCATGATTGTGGCATTATAAACTGGGAAACATTTTGTGAAGTTTAACTTTTGGTTGACTTGGCTAGTTGATTTTGGGCAGATTCCAATGGGCATCAAGCTGGACCCAGAGAGGGCACTATTTCCTTACAGCAATGGAGGCTACTTTGGCACTAACTGGACATCACTGGTTCACAAACGATTAGGAAACGTTAGTGTTGCAGCTGCATCACTACCAACTAAATGAATAATCCTGACTCTTTTCAACTGATGAGGGGTTGCTTCTGCTGGAGGTGGATAGTGGGGTCTTTGATCATCGTGTTCACAGTCTGGATTCAGTGAGTCCACTTGTTTCCAGGGTCTCTTGAGTTCTAGTTTGGCTTTTGTTTCTGCAGTCTCCAGATGAATCTCACGACATTGAATGCTCCCTCTCCATTTAAACTTGGGGATATGCCACCACACTAACTAAAACCAGCAGGCAAGTTTGATCAGCAACAAATTGTCAACCAGTGGTTGATTTTGGCTGGTAACTTATGCATGATATATAAAACGGACACCAGGCAAAGTTGACCAGTGGTTAACAAATCACTGATCACTGATCAAATTTGCCAAGTGTTGAATTGGAGCACTTTTCGAGTACCAAGTTCACTTCCAAATGATGAACTGTTAAGGAGGAACATTATCATCATCTGTAAGATCAAGGCCACATGGGTGCTAGCACGTGTGCATCGAGCACCACAGTGGAAAAAGTATACATTTTGGCTGACCCGTCTCAGAAAAATGTGTGCTGTGTAAGAACAGTGTGGCCAATTTTCACAAAATTGGTGTCAGAATGAATACTCTAAAATCTCCTAAAGGCTCAACTCCTAAAAAAATGCACTACCTTATCAGGGAAACTGACATTGGTGATATTTTCCAAATAAGCCTAAAAATGCATTGCTCTGCTTAATAGGTAACAGAAAAGCTGAGCTGCTGAGAGAAAAAAAGTGATGAGCTAAATAAATGTATTCCACCACATGCTTGTTCATGTGGGGAAATGATTGTGTCAGTGCAGATGAAGTAGAATAAAGGGCACAAGATTTCTGAAACAAATTAAGAAACTTAGTGACTTTGTTTACTGCAAAAACAAACCGATATACTTTCATACTTCTCTGTCATAGACTCTCAAGATATAGTTTGTTGAATTGACACTTTTAAAAATTGACAAGACCCACAACTAAAAAGCTTTTGTTACAGTGCCAGCATTATGTTTGTAGTTTTTGTACTTACTGGTTACATTTTATAAACAAATAGTAAATAAAACATTGAATGAATAATGAATGCATTGGTTATCAATGTACCAGCCAAAGGTTATCAACTGCATTCACTCTTTCTTCTGGAGATGTTCCCCTCCCCCTGGATTGGCTGGGCAAAGTGCTATTTGTTTGGACACCAAATGTACAAGTACTGCACCACAAAAAGAATCTACGGTCTGGCATTGTGACGTGCCGTTTGTCTGGTCCTGAATAGTTCACGGCCTTGTGTGTGGACCCACACACGTTGAGCTGAGGCTCGGGAAAAGTTAACATTTGGGGCATACCTTTTTTGGCATTTTGAAGGAAGAGTTCGTCCAATTTTCATGACATCAGTGTGAAATTAAAATGTGTTAAACTTTCTAATTTACCTCCCAGAATAAAAGCTTTCAAAGGATTACTCAAACATATCTGTACGTTTATTTGACAAATAGAACGATGGTTGTAGAGTTCTAATATTTTTCATAAAGCACTCTAAAGTTATTTCTGATTAGCAACAGCTAGGTAGCATTTTTTGAAGATGTGATTCTGATCTGTACCTATATTGATAAAAAAGTTTATTACATATCAAGAGACAATTAACGAAAATTACGTGTTCCTTACATATTTAAGGCCCCTTAAAACCTTAATATTTAAGAGTGGAAAGAAATGGTAAATGTTTTACGCAGAAATGTTTTCAAGACATGCATGGAAATTTTTATGTATACATGTACATCGAAATCAAAAGTGTTAATATTTTTGTTAGACCCTTACATTTTGTTCAAGATTAGTTTCATTGAATTTAAAACAACTTGTCTTCTCAGTGTTTACAGTCTCGTCGATTCTGCTGGCTGATTGCTCTCTTCTTTTGAATGAGTCACTGCAGTGGACTTGGCACTAGTCGTAAAAGTTGCCCTAGACGTTCTGGAACATCTTTTGCATCGAAAGGCCTGTCTGAATGCTGTGCGGTACTGCTTATTGATGGCACCGTAGATCAGTGGGTTTATCATGGTATTGATATACTGAGGAACCCCACCGATCCAGTTGCCGTTACCCACTGCAGCAAGGGGATCAGGAATACCGGCCAGAGAGCAGATCCATCTTGAGAAGTAGAAGATGCGATACGGCGTCTGGCAAAGGAAGAACACCACGCCGTTTATAACCAGCATTTTGGCCACTTGGTTTCGGATCTTCAGCGCACTTGGGTCATTATTGACAACACCACCCTTGCTGGAGCGTTGATTAAGTGTGATGATGATGCGCACGTACATGTAATTGTTGGCCACCAGTAAGAGGAGCCAAGACAGGTTCAGCAGAGGTACAGCATATGCTATTACCCATGGGCCGGGGGCACCACAGTAAGCATAGCTAGATGGGTAACCGTGGTAGGCATCGTTGTCAGGCCATCGCAGGCATTGCACATTGAGAATGACAGCAGACGGAACAAGTGTCAGTGCCAATATGAATCCCACCAGCCAGCAGACGCCGATCATTCTGTTGGTACGCTTCCGCCCACGAATCTGGAGGTGTTTGATGGGGTGGCATAGGGCGAGGTACCTCTCAAATGAGACTCCAGTGACCAGCAAGATGGATACGTGATAAACGGTGTTGATGAAAGCCGAAAAGGTGATGCATCCCGCCGCGCTCACAAAGGGCACATGAAAGGCCAACGGGGATGCCAAGTAGCCCCACATTCTAAACCCAAATGCCAATATCATGAAGAGAAGATCTGAGATCGCCAAGTGAGCCAAGCAGATGTTGGTATCCGATCTGAGTGCGGGAACGCGGAACATGACAAAGAGGAATGTCATATTGGTGACAAGACTGAGAGAGCAGATGATGGACATGACGACAGTCGTCATGAAAATGTCTATCGGACTGTGAAGCCAGTCTGATACTGCCTCCTGACTGACGTTGACAGTGTCCTGTTCACTGCATTCAACTGATGTCAGACCAGATCCCATGCTAGACAGCTGTATTCAGTTGAAACTTCTGGAAAGTTTACAAAATCAGTTCAGTTCAGGCAAAGGTCTTGATTGCTGAAAAGAGTTCCACGGTTAGTGAACAGACGTAAAATTTAGGATGCTGTTTTCAATAAGGGATGCTTGGTCTTTGATCCACCAGCCTCAGGCCGCTTCTGCATCTATGCGTGCATTACAAGGAGCATGCTCTTCATTGTATTTAAATAGTATGCCGTACCACTTATATCTTGTCGTTGGAAGATTATCTTTGAGCGCAGATATTGATAGGCAGCAAATAGCCAATAATGATCACATGCATTATTGATGATTCACTGAAGATGCCCTATTTGGCTTTTATGGGAATGGAATAGAACTACTCTCTCATTAGTCCTGCAATTACCCTGGACCCTCAGCCTCTTGCCAGCTTTTTAACAAGACAGAAAAGTGGAGAGGACTATGACGCTGGACAGTGAGAGTGGATAGTGAAAGCGTCAGGATGGCTTGTAATCACTCTACTGTACTCGGTCAGCATTTTGCTGGGTGTTCTTGTCATAATGACCCGTCTGCAGAACAATTCCAAACGGGAGGGGGAGGGATTCCGAATTTTGAGTCTCTTCTGGACTTCATTTGCAACGCAGATAATCAGCAGCTTGGGCGAGTGAAAGTGGGTTCCTTTCTTGCTTGGCAATGACGTTCACTTGGGTCAACCTTGTACACAGGCCTGCGTTGTTTGCACACCTTTGGCATTGGGTCAATTTACATGTAAATGTTTTGGGGCCATGCGCCAATTGGGTTCTCTTGAGCGGATGTCATTTGCATAACTGAGCTGGGAGCAGCTGACATGTGGTGAATGTCAGCAGATGCTCCGTTCTTATAAGGGGACGCTTGTGTACAAAAACTATGAAAGAATGAGCCAGTTCGGTATTTTAACCACACATGCTCAGTAAGAGGACACTCGGGAACAGCTATGCGCGTGCGCGCCGTAATCTTAATAGTAAGTGCAGTCATATGCCGATTCACTTGTACTTTCTCTTCCTTAACGACCTGTGCTTTTTGAAATGATAATGCAAGCCATTTGGCTGTATTTATTTTATTTCTTTATGAGCAATTGCATTTTTATTCGACAATTTTTATGGTAATATTACATATACAGTATATTAAATTTTTATATTACAACCGTTGTCATTTTAATATTATCTTGTGTAAGCTGTCTTCATTCAGCCTGTGGGCTGCTATGGACAGTCAAATAAACAATAATAGTAATAAAAAAATACCGAACTGCCTCATTCTTAGCTCAGCGGAAAACAGATCAGGGTTCCTGTTCCACATGACCGGAAAGAACTTAGTGGGTTGGAGGCTAAAATACATGAAACCAAGAAGTCAACTCCCTGCTAATGTGCCCCAAATGCTTCAACTACTATAAGAGGGCTTTTGAGTCTGTGAACTTCGAGGTTTGCTTTTTTAAAAAAGGCCATGAATGTGCTTTATTTGCACTGGACTATACACATAATCACTTTCCCGGATTTACCAGAATGAAGAAGGTTCCTCTATGGATATTCTGCCTGTTTGATGGATACTGCGCCCCTGTAAGAAGTGAGGGCACTTTACATCACTGGAAAAATTGGTAGTGATGTAAATGTATCCATTGCCTTGCTTTTAAGAACATCTGTTCTGTGGATTAAATGCTTACTAAACACCAAATGATCCATATTTAAACCCATGTTCTTTTTTTTTTTACAGATTTGCATCGCAGCACAAGATCAATGATACCGAGGCGAGTTCCCAAATCGCAATCCAAATTAACCAGGTCAGTATTAACATAGGGCAGTCCGAAGGAAAGATGGTCACCATTTTGGGTTCAGAATTTAATGGCACTTACCTCGGTGAACAAACAGTCCATTTCTGTGGGTTTGCATAAAATTGCATCAGAACCAGGGTCATGGGAAGATAAATTATTCATAGTGTGTACATAATTTATTCATAATTATTTTGTGCATCTTTACCAGTTTTTACATAATTCTCATAACTAAAGTATATTTCCCCATTCTGTCATTTGGCTTTCTTTGTATATGTGCAACAAACCCACTTTGAACCAGGGACCTGTTAAAAGAAGTTGGAGAGAAGACAAAGTTATCAATATAGCTTGGGTTTGTCGACTTTGATGAAAGAACATCTACATCAGCAAATTGCTGAAAAAGTTGGTTGGATTGGAGTTAGTGATGCTACTATTACTCCAAGCTGTAGCACACATCAGTCATACATTTCGCATCAAAATAGACTGAGTGCATGACAGTAGGATTACATGGGGGAAGGAGCAAGCCTGAGTAACTTGTCTGAGAGTTTTCACACTCACCTGTTGACAGTGAGACTTCTTAAGTGGATGGGAACTTGGGCCATCGGATAACGGGTCAGGGAGTACCACAAGACCCTTTTTTATACAGTTGTTGATCAGAAACATTGACCTGACAAGAACAGGAGCTTCAACTTTGGTGGTTCATTGGAGCCCAGATCACCAGAGAGGCACATGTCCACTGTATTTGATTAAAAGATTTGAGGGTTTCAGTTGCCCACTTTTTTTATCCCCTTAGTGACGGTAACAGCAACCCCGTGGGCACAATCCAGCAGGATCTGATCCCATCCTCCCCCATCGAAGACTCTGATCTCCTGGAGTCCCTCCTGCAGCTACAGGGCTGTCCCCTGGACTCGGACATGGACCAACTCACCCAGCTCCAGGAGAACCTGCTGGGGAGGAAGCCCGGAGGGTCGGGCGCGGGGGCAGGGGTGGACAAGGCTGCGGCGGACAAGGGGAAGAAGACCGGGGACCCAGGGGCAGGCTCTGAGAAGCAGATGAAGCGGCCTAGTCCCGACGACGGGACAGCGGGGGCACCGGGAGGGGCCGCAGGGCGGCATGAGAAATTACGGAAGAAGAACAAGGACGAAGATGGGGTGTGGGACGTTTGGGAAGAAACGGTGTAGTCGCAGGCACAATTTTCGGTGTCGTGAACGGGCCAGTTTGGTATTTCAAACAGGCAAGGTTATTTGAGAATAAAGCACATGTGGGAGTCGGCGTATGAGTGTGCTGATAGGGTAGACCTTGCGCTCACACCTTACTACTTCTGAATAACCTTGGCTGAGCTTCATTCTGGACATGCACTGTTATACCAAACTTGCTCATGAGTGAAAGTGGTCTCATACTGAAAGTCATTGTGGCATGGAGGTTTTAAAATGGGAAATGAACCCCTCAAAATCCTTTTGGCTCCCAAGATGGAATACATCTTTCCTTGGGCGTATTATCAGATATGAATGATGTGCTACTGAGCTTGTTTCTAATATCCATGCACTTACAGTCTGCTGTACCTAGTGGAAGATGGCATTACAGTTTGTCGGTTCAGTTTGTGCCCATTCAACCTTTGAACAGATAAAGAAAGAAAAAAAGGCACTGAAATTTTATTCTTGGGTTGCTGGACATTTGTGCGGAAAATCAGGGAGTTTGGATCAAGAATGTTTGACCCTCACTAGTCTTCAGCAAAACTGGTCGGTAGTTTCCAGACCCTTGTGACATGCTGAAATAAAATCTTCTGGAGCATGTGTTTTTGTCAGGCAGGAGACCCAGTATTCAGCATGAAAGTCTGATTTCCTTGGGGAAAAAAAGTATTGAAATGTATTGTACATTGTTTATATGCTTCTGATGTCAACATTCCAAAGGGTGGAATCTTATAAACAGTGCCCAAATTCAGCTGAAATTTCCCCCATTTTTCATTTAAAGTACATTTTGCAGAAGTATACTTCTGTATTTTGAAAAGAAAACTGTGCCAATAGTTGACAGATGGTTGCACTTCAGTCAATGAATGCCATCAACACGGAGGAATTTATCACTAATAAATGCCATTTTATGAAGAAAGAATATCTCTGTGCAAGGCGTAATATTTATGCCTACCAGTAAGATACAGATTCCTGAGGTGACTTTCCTGTGTCATTTGGATTGACCTTATCAATATGCATGACCTTGATAGTCTGGTAACCAGCCTTCTCAGCCAAGAAATATGCCTTCCAGTCAGCTTCATACAGCCCACCTTTTTACTATTTGTATGCTGCATTGCTCGTTCAGGCAGAAAATATTTTATACTATTTGTACAGTTTGACTTTGAGAAAGCAAAAAAAAACACTTGAGATGAAAATGTGCCTATATGTGCGTCAACCAGAATGCCTTTTTCTCATGATCTTACAAAGCAATGGATTTATAGTGTTTGTAAGGCTTATCACTTTTTAATGGCCAAGGATTTGACATCTGGGTTCTTCCACAGATATAAGATAAAAAAGCAAAAAAGAGGTGTAACAAAGTTCAAAAAAGATACTGTCAACCTTTCTAGAAAACTAAAACATGATTTGGTGCATTCATGCCTGAATGTTCTCCTTGAATGTGCTAAACCTTTACCAAAATGCATTGAAAATTATTTTGACAAAAAACTTGAACAAGTTCTCTTGAGAGGGCTTCCACGCCTTCTAACAGATCCCTCTGTTGGATTGTCCATATTATCTCCTTCCAATCCGCTAGTTCCCTGCGATCCTCATGTCCAGTTTCAAATGCACAACTTTTTTTCGCACAATGTTCCACGTGATTTGGGCTTCTCGTTAGATTTGGTCAGGAATAGTTGGTATTGTTCCTGGTAGAAGAGCATTCGGGAATGTTTTTGTTTTGTTTGAAAACAGCAAAACAGATGGTTCAATTGTATATTCCACCGATCATCAAATTAGTTGTTTACTTGATCATATGAGAATAATGTCCCGGCAAATAACGCGACTTTGTGGGATTATTTTCCGAGTTGAGACCCTCATAAACGAGTAATCGCACAAATTTCCTCATCTTTTCAGCTTCACCGGCAAAGTTGCCTTTCGTTTCGTATGACGGAAGTTCTTCCACTCTTGAAGTTTGTTAACATTTGTAGTCAAACTTTGTACTGAACACTGTATGTTCTGAGGGCAGGAAACCTGTTCATGAGTCTTTACTGATGGCAGATCATAATTGCTTTCTTGTCTCGTTGATTGTGTATTAGTTGTTAAGCTTGATATGAAATATTTGTCAAATAAAATTGAAAACTGTAAACACTTCAGGGAACACGGACGTAGTACCAAAGTTACTTGCCTAAAAATGATTTACACCCTTGTGAGAAAAAGTGTTCAGGTAGGATTTTGCTGTGTTCCTCATTTCGTTGAAGTGTTGAATTTCAAGGGTTTTTATTGTAAAAGTTTCCTGTAGATAGTAAAGAAATATAATATTTGTAGTTATCCCTTGTGACTTTAAAGGATCATGTGCTTTATTTGGATTTTTCTCATTTTAAAATTTTACCATTAGAAAAAAAATTCTTCTACACATAATGGCTACTCTAATTTGGGGTCCGGTCAGATATTATTTCCAGCCCGATTTAACTGGCCTTGTTTCCATTGTGCACCATCTGTAGGTCAGTGATGTTTCTGTGTTTTTTTAAATAAAATTGTTTAATTGGACTGGAGAAAAGCAATACGTGTCATAATGTTGAAGATAATTTGCTGGCATTGTATCAATTTCAGCAGTCTTTATAGTGATGTTCTGTACAGGGTTAGAGCCACCGAAATTCTTGTGTTAAATTAATGTAGGCATTAGTGTTTATAAAAACTTTTATTTGTATATAAGGTATGTGTATGCAGCAGAGTCATGTGAATATAGTGTAATGTTAATTATTGGTGTTTATATTCTTTTTTTTTCTTTTTAAATCTTGGCTTTGTCTCCGGTTGCAACTCTAGCTCCAGCTTTGTTTATGTAAGGTCGTTGTCTTGGAGAACTCCAAATCAATCATCGGTCGTCTGCTTTAGATGCCATTAGTATTTATCATCGGCACTATTCAGATTTATTGTTCTTTTGTTGCTGTGCTGCCGGCCGGCCGTAATTTACCAACCACTCACTGGCTGGCAATACTGTGCTGACGCATAAGAGAGGTCTTTCGGCAGTGCCTTGTGAATTATCCAATTCTGAAGAGTGTTGTCACTAAAAACCATATTTTTTTTGTATCGCTTTGTTTGGAAGCATTAAGACTTTTTTGGTCAATGTATTGTGTGGTGGTATTGATGTGTAAGACCTCTGCCCAAAACTTAGAGATTCGATGTGTAGAGGTTTTTTTTTTTCCATTTTGTATCTTGTTTCGTTGACGATATTTCGTGTAATATTTGCAACTTCTTCAGGTATCTGTAAAAGTGACTACGTGTTGAGGAATTTGCGTTTAAATTGCCACATGAGCTGTTATATAAAAAAGTAGTACTTGACAAATTTTTTTCCTTCAATCTTTTGAGGTTATCGTTTTAGGATACTGTACTCTCTCACCTTGTGAAGATTGTAGTCAGTGTGAACGTTTATGTATTGTGTATGAATATAGTTTCTGTTGAATTGTCGACTGCAATATTTTTATCCCGCCTCAACTTAAGAATGACAGCATAATTACGCACGGAATTCCCCTGTTTACTAAATGAAAAGAAGTCTGAGATTGGAAGATATCCTGAATTTTATTGCTAGTTATTGTTCCCTTACCAAAACCAACAGGGTATATTCACCACCTGTGGTGTTTATACAGGTGTTTGAGTTTCTGGCCGCATCTGTTGTAAAATATAAATGTCGATAGCATTTTCATATTTTCCTGACATACGCCATATGGTCAGCACGAGAAGTAAACCTTTTTAGCAATGACCGTTGCAGCATATTTGAAGTTAACCTCATTAATTATGTACCGATGTGCATTAAGAGGCTGTCCTTGTATGCTGTTATTTTATTGTTATTATTTTAAAAGCTTGTTGGAAATTCACGAAAAGAAAAGGAAAAATGGCAAAACGACTAAAACTTGATGAGGGATTACTCTGCATGGCCACAGCAGAATGATTTGTATCGGGACAGTTTTATGACATGAATTTATTGTGTAAGTTTTTTTCCTGACTGTATTTATACAACAAAGTGATTTGCTGGGATAGTTGCTCTGGAATAAAAAACTCTTTGTAAATTTTCAATCAATAAACAGTAATTACTTCTGTTGCAAGATTTTTTGGTGAAAATTTGAGTGGTAGTATTTGACAGTTTCCGTTACTCGGCTTGCATTTTATCATGGCAAGGCGAAGTCAGTCTCAAAGAGGCTTAATGCTTCTACTGCGTTCAGCTTGTGCGCGTGGCAGCTGTGTTAGTAAGAAGAATGCTCATTTTGATATCTTTCGGATTATGGATTTTTTTCTGGTGGAGGCGGCAGTGTCAGAGGGTGGCACAAAGAAATTAAATGAAATTGATCTTTGAATCCAGGTCAGCCTCAGATCTGTCCGTGGCTGGGTAAACAAGGAACTAGTTATAGGCCTTGGAAATTGTCGAGAAATTTTTACTCTTAACAGTAAATTTTCTGGTTTTATTTATAATATTGTACAGCTTCAATAATTACGATTTTGGATTTTAGGAAATCATAAATACCTGAGACAGTTTGGCCATCCCTTCTAGTTCTTTACATCAAAAAAATCATCCATCGGACCAGACTGAGTTGTATTCTTTCACCTTAAAATAATCCCTTTAGGGTTTGAGCGGTTTGAACTCAACTATTAACTATTAACTCAACTATATTAAGCAATTTAAGCAAGATTCACTTCACCTTTCACAGGTACAGTCTTTGAGTTGCTGTTAACTGCTCGCTCCATATAAACTAAATTTGGATGAATTGAACTGCTTGTATTCAAGAACCCCTAACCAGTCAAAAATTGCAGACTAGTGCCCTACCGGGAACTGGGCTGTTGTGCAGTACTGAACTTTGTTCCCACCTCAGGCTTCATCTGGTTTTTGTTTTTGTTTTATTAGCTGTTTCGGCAACTTTGCCGAAACAGTATTGTTTTTCTGATAATTTTTTTTTCTTCTTCAACTCAATTCCTTCTACCAGTCGACTTCGGCAGTTTACTAAATCTGATCGACTTCAAACTTAGACCTTTGAACCATCATCCAAGGACGGTCCTAGGAGAAAATAAGTAGTTTATTTATTGATTTTTTAAGAATTAAATTTTCTCAATAGACTCTGTACACAGATTGCACACAGTTTTCGGACTGTCGTATATCAGGCTACGAGGGCGCTATTACAGAATTACTGTTACACCTGACTGGGCTTTC